ATGTGCTGGGTCCGAAACACGTGTCTATGTTTCTCATGTTCATAGACATTCGTTGAATATCTTCGAATAGACTTGCACTCGGGGTTTTCATCACCGTTTTGTCTATAGTTCTCCTCTTCCCACCTCCTCCTTCCAATGGTGAGTGAGTATCTCAATTGGTTTGTTCCTTTCGAACCTTATATTTATGGTTGCCATTGGTAGGTCATTGAGCAGCTATGCATCTGCCAGACTGCAACTCCAGAAAAGCGGGTTTACTGTGGCAGACTGCTGTTCTTTCATCGACTCAGGAGGTGGTTGAACCTGTACACTCTTCCAGAACGTGTTTAATGTGTGTCTCTGAGTGTAGGTGCATGTGGAGTGGTGGTAGTTTGAAAATGGTTTCTCGAAAGATTGGAGCCTTAGTACACTGCTGGTATGCTTACAGATTAGTGATGATCTGTCCTCCTCAATCAATTTCGGCGCAGGGCTTCCGACCGTCCGGAGTTAAAAAGAGACTTAGAGAGTGGCATGCAATCATAGGTCCAGCATGCACAGGGGTTATCTTGCGGTCGCGACTTGACAAACCAGCAGATCAGTCTCTGTCCGTCAACTCAGTGTGTGCTGCACTCCCAGCTGGTTCCCACAAGCTCCTTTCTAAGAGTGTTATTTGTGAAACTTCCAAGGTCGCCCTGTCACAGACTTGTGCGGAAATTTGAGTGCCTACAGGCTACAGGTGTGTGTGTGTGTGTGCCCTGTGATGTCTGTCACGCACACACACACATGAGTTCCTACAGGTATGTCAGAAATGGAGTACGGACTGGTAGTTGTGTGGCTGGCGTTGATGGCAAGGTTCAACCTTAGTCACGGTGGATGGAGGGCCAGAAACGGAATGATAGGGAAGAAAGGGGAAGTGGTCCGAGCTTAGCGCACAACTACTTGCGCCAAGCAATACAAGCTCGAATGATTTTTCGCGGGATTTTAATGTAGAGGTAAAAAGACCTGAACAGTCAACAATAACATAGCTAATTCGCCAAAGGCCTTCCTTTCAAGGTAGCATAGCTCAGTACCGGTATATACGTATAATATTATACATATATTTAATGTCGGACATTTTTCCTCGTTCTGGGCAAGGGACACCTTGCCTCTACGAATCCCCCCTGGCGGTGGCCAAGCACGGCGAAATCCGCGGCCGCGGCCAGGTCCGCGACCCCGCAGACGCGTCCGCGCGGACGTGTGACTTCGCAGACGCATGGCAGCCGCTAGGGAGAGGCACAAAAAATTTGAGTGGTGGTATGGGGCGGCGCATCCCCAGCCCCACCCTGAAACGGTATTCACCAGTTCACAGTAGCTGATGCAGATCCCAGGGCTCGATCCCTAGTTCCCCAACTTACCTGTGTACAGTATCAGTGTCAACTTGTAGGTTTGAGCCTGCGACCTGTAGGACCACCAGTGGTAGGTAGTTTTTTGTAGGTCACAATGTAGAAGGAATTCGAACTGTAGACCTGTAGGGTAGGAGTCTAGACAGTTCTTAGGTCGTAGCTGTAGACTGCCTGAAGGGTCAAGGTCGTAGCTGCTACTTACCTGAAAGGGCAAGGTCGTAGCTGCTACAGAACCGAAAGGCCAAGTAGAGGTTTCTAGAAGTGGCCTTTCGGAACGAGCCTGCGTTAAGCAGAGGCAAGTGGTCAAGTGGTGGTAGTCCACCTAGCACAGTCAGCAGTCCCAGTCCACCCAGTCCGGTCCAGTCCAGCAAGTACCGTCTGGGACTGTGTGCACGATGGGCCGGGGGTACAGGGCAGACCAACGCAGCACAGAAGTATAAAGCAAGAGGCTGCGCCCAGCCATAGATTCATTCGTGCGGAAGCCATGCGGAAGCGCTGCTTCAGCGTCTTGTGCAAGGAGGTCCGCAGGAGGCCCGAAGGCGAAGTGGGCGAGAATGAAGCTGTGTAGTCATAGCGATAGGTAGCGGCAGCCATAGCTGCCATAGCGTAGTGTAGGGTGTAGAGTGTGTGCACAGAGTGTGTGTTCAGAGTGACGTGCGTGGGATATCCAGGGTGATCCCGAGTGTGAACAGTGAGTTGTTGAGGCGCACAGTCGCCATAGCCAGTGGAAGCGAACTGTTACTTGGAAGCCATATCTCTGAGTTCAGTGTGGGCGCATGTCGCCAGTTGGTTGTACTGCTGTTCACGTGCATGCAAAGTGTGAATAAGTCGAGTCTGATTGCACTGGTATCAGAGCTGGTACCCGCTGTGCCACGCGCGCCGCCGTGTGCAGGGCCGATGCGCCATAGCTGAGGTGGTGACCGAAGGGGGCAGTCCGCCATAGCGGACCTCAAGGTGGAAGAAGCCGCTGCACCTGCATCAAGAAGACCACGACAAAGAAGAAGAATGAGAGAGAGAGAGAGAGAGAGAGAGAGAGAGAGAGAGAGAGAGAGAGAGAGAGAGAGAGAGAGAG